CCCACAGATCTCAAAGGGCGGTCGGGCATATGCGGACGTAAGCGCTCATTCAGGTAGCCAGGACCCAAGCCGTTTAGGGCTTTATAGGTCATAATCAACACCTTGAATTGGGCCCGGGCTTCAATGGGAAGCCAGTGAAGCTGACGGAGGACTGGAGTCATGTGAGCATAACGCCCCGTCCCCATCAGCAACCTGGCAGCTCTATTTTGCACCAATTGAAGTGTTCGGACCGTCTTCAGGGGAAGCCCCACGTAAAGCACGTTACAGAAGTCTAGGCGGGAAGTCACCAGCGCGTGTGTCACCGTCGCCAGGCAGTCGTACTCCAGGTAGGGGCGCAGCTGATTAATCAGCCGAAGCTGAAGGAAGGCGTTCCTCGCCACCGCTGTCACCTGAGCTTCCAAAGAAAGCTCCGGGTCGAGGAGTACTCCTAAGCTGCGGACCTTATCCCTAAGAGGGAGTGTTGCACCATTCAGGACCAGGTCAAATCCACCCTCTCCGAAACCCGATCCGCCAACCAACAGGACCTCCGTTTTGTCTGGGTTGAGTTTCAGTTTATTGGCCCTCATCCATTCCCTTACCTCGGCCAAGCACCGGTTCAGCACAGCCACTGCCTCACCTGGATTAGTGGAAAACGAGAGGTAGAGCTGGGTATCATCAGCGTATTGATGATTCCACAGCCCACACCTCCTGATGACCTCTCCCAGCGGTTTCATATAGATGTTAAATAGCAGAGGGGATAGAATGGAGCCCTGTGGTACTCCATGGCATAACTGCCATGACGTAGAGACATGGTCCCCCAGCACTACCTTCTGGAATCGACCGTTGAGATAGGAGCGGAACCACTGCAAAGCAGTGCCTCCAACCCCCAATCCCGCAAGCCTATCCAGAAGGATACCATGGTCGATGGTATCGAAAGCCGCCAAGAGGTCCAGAAGAACCAACAGGGATGCACTCCCCCTGTCCTTCTCCCTGCACAGGTCATCGTACAGGGCGACCAAGGCAGATTCAGTACTGTACCCGGGTCTGAAGCCAGACTGAAAAGGATCCAGATAATCAGTTTCATCCAAGACCCAGGTTATCCTGTAATTGTATTAGTTCTATTTCCACAGCAGATGATTCTATAACCAGTTTGAAAATTAGGCAACCATCACTGATTACATCAACTATGAATGGATTTGAAAGAAAGGTGAAGCAGGCCTTCAGCTTCTACAAGTACACAAACTTGTCTAGGAAATTATCAAGCAGTTCTTGTAATTTATCTTGCTATTCTTCCAGTTTGTAGTCTTTTAATATCTGGGAAAGTATTTACTTTCCTTTTGAGACTGGAAAAGTAACTGAAGTTTCTTGACAACATGTCTCCTTGAAAAACTCTTATTTTATTCTGAAAACTGAAAACTGTCTTATCCTTTCCTCAGAGTGCCAAAATGAGAGTTTCTAGATGATTCATTATTATCAGTAAGAAACATTAGGTCTTGCACCCATGCATCATTTCCCAGCTGAGGACAGAATCTTTTCTTTGCAAAAAGTAACAACAGGTTCCAACAGAGCCATAAACCTATTTAATACATTGTTGGTTGACAGCCATCACAAATGCAGTGGGAAAGAGACATCACTGTGTCCATCTTCAATAAAGCTTTTGAACTGTTGGTGGATCTTCTCACTTGAGCACATGAAATTTACAATTTCAAGAACAGGTTTCATAACACCTTCATATTCAAACTACCTGGCTGCCCGGTGTTCACGATGGATAATGCAATGGACAGCTGGAAACGTTTTTCATAAGTGCAATCAATCCTGTGTTTTTCCCCACCATCACAGGTGCTTCAACTGTTGCAACAATGACAAGTTTGTCCAGTGGAATATGAGCATTTGTGAAGGTACTGTCAAGTACATTTCTAATGTCAACACACAAGTTGTTTCTTTTCATGGCACTAAATACAACATTTCTTCTTTTACAATAACATCAGAGGAAACATAGTGAATAAATATCACCAGTTGTGGGTTGTCTTATATGTCTGTAAATTCATCAAGAGTGAAGCTAAATGCAAGCGAATTCTTTAAATCATTCTGCCTGCAACATCAACACTGAGCTGGGAGATACTTTGGTATCCTTCTGGACAAGTTGACTGGACTGTGAGGTGGTTCCACTCCTATCTGGCCAGCTGTCTCCAGATGGTGGTACTGGGGGACTTTTGCTCTGTGCCATGGAGTTCCACAGGGTCCCATTTTGTCCTCCATGCTCCTTAATATTTACATGAAACTGTTAGGAGAGGTCATCAGGCAGATTTGGCATTGCACTCTACATGGGGCTGCCTCTAATGATGGTCTGGACATTGCAACTTGTTCAAAACAGTGCAGTGCACTTGCTAACTGGGATTGGTGTTCATGAGCACATTGGCTGCAACTTTCCATCTGGGCCCAATTTAAAGTGCTTACATATAAGGCCCTAAACAGCCTGAAGCCAGGCTACCCGGGGGATCACTTCTCTCCATATATACCCTCCCGATTACTGCAGTCAACCTTTGAGGCCCTCCTCCATGTTCCTCCCCACCCCCCAAGTAAAGTGAGGGGGCAGTTGGCAAGTCGGAAGGCATTCTCTGGAATTGCATCCCGGTTGTAGAATTTGATTCTGCAGGAGATTAGACTGGTGTCAATTCCAGACTTCTTCCAATGCCATCTGAAGACCTTTTTGTTCCACTCATATTTTGAAGGGTAGTTTGCTGGGTTTGTTTTAAAATTTGTTGCTGCAACCATTTTAAATGTAAATTTTGTTTTTAATTTTGGTTAATGATGCTCTTTTAGTGGATTGTTTATATTGCCTGTTTATTTTTTAATATTTACTTTAGATTTGTGTTTTATTATCAGTTGTTTTATAATTATTGATTTTATTAATATCATTGTCTTATTGTATTGTTGTATTTTATTCTTTGATTGTATATAAGCCACCCACTAATCAGGCAGCATATAGATAAAATCCAATAATCAATTAATTAATTAATCCTCTCTGTAGTGAGGCATGAAGCTGGTGTTTGTGCTATTAGTCACTGAAATTTTGTGTTCTCTGGATCCGACAGTCCAAGAACTTCAGCTACATTCTTAACAAATTCACCATCCAAAAATGGATGTTTAGCATGAGCAATATTCCACACTACAACAAAACTAGTTTCAGTCATTGTTTCAGCTTCCTTACTGAACACTGTCAACAGTGTCTGCTGGCTATTTAGTGATGACTGAAAGGTGAATACATACTGAAAGGTGAATACCAACTCTGCCTTAAAAGTTCTGTTTTCATCTTCATACTTTCACTTCTTACAATTTGATTATGCCATCCTTCCTCACAATACTGTCACAGACACTTGTAAACAAATGGTAGTGCTTTGCAATGGTAGCAGAGGAGGCTTCCCTGCAGGGCTCTTGCATGTGCTGACTGGGCTGCTGTTTGAGGCTCAAAGGAGAAGTGAGATGACTGAAGTGCAGCTGTGACTGGTTATTGCAGTAGGAGATTTGCCTGTCTTTCCCTGGAGGGTTTTTGTGCTCACTGGCTCAGCTGCTGGTTGAGCCTTGATTGGTTGAGGCTGAGTTGCAGTCACGTGATTGAAGGACCACAATTGGTTATCACAGCAGAAGGCGCGTGCCTCCTTGGCTTCTTTCCGCCTCTCTGCAAGCCGCAAAATAAACTCCAAGAGCTGCACTGGGTTATAGCCTCAGCCTTGGTTTGGCCACCCCTGGACCATAGCTCCAGCAGGGGCTATCAGGAAAATCCTATAGGGCCATAGGGTTCCACACCTGAAGGCTTTGGACCAGATTATGGCAAGGAACATCTGTCTCTGCATGCACCTTGAATTTGAGATCATTAACAAGGTGTCCTTCTTTGTGTGTCCCTGTTAAGAGAAGTACAGCAAGCCATGAGGGAGATAGGCAGCACACCTGCTCTGGAGTATGGAGTTCACAGTTTTCTGACAACTTTATTTTTCCAGACCCTTTGGCTTATTTTTATTGTCAAGTTAATCTCTTCTTTCCTCTGGATTGAGTGTTACTGATATTTTCATGTCGGTTGTATCTTCGTTTTACACTTTAGATTTACATTTTTGTATTTTCTAACTTTTTTGTTATTGTTAGCTGTTCTGAACTTTGCTTATAGACAGAGTAAAAATAGTTTAAAAAATGTAAGCAATATCAACTCTTTCTGGAAAAGGCTGATTCTGAATAGTTGGTTTAAAGCTATTTTGCCTTTTCTTACATTTCATTTAACCCTGCTTGTAATGTCAAAATCATCTGGCACCTAAATCCAAATTGCTCTCTCTTAACTTTGATATATTGTTTAAAAATGCAAGCAGGAATGCAGACTTTATTTTTTGTGAATTCTGAACCAAAGGAAGCCACTATAATAGGAAGCCATCCTCCCCCGTTTTTTCTTTTTAATCAATATGGCATGTTTAGCTTTTCTATCACACTATACTACATTCATCACTGATAGCACTTTTAAAATAATTACATTCAAGCTTCCTAATTCAAAATGTGTTTTATTGCTTGGAAGCAATGCAAATACTTAGTTCTAATAATACTTTGCTAGACGGCCACAAACTTAGCCATGTCTACTCGGAAGTAAGCGCCACTGAGTTCTGGGAGAGTTACCCCAAAGCAAACACGTTCAGGACGGCAATTTTATTCGTACACTTTTAATGAATTCTCGGTTAGAGTTTCCCCCAAGAAAGACCCAGGGTGAGTTCAGGGGAGGGGGCAACGTCGTTTCTTGGGCCACATATTTTTCGCGGAGTCCTACCCGCAAGCAAAGCAGGCAGAAGCAAGAAGCGCTGGCACTCACGGCAAGAAAACGACTGCCCGCAACTTTTCCGACGCCGCCTCGCCGCCTCTCTCGCTGCAGCTTCCCCCGTTACGCAGAACTCCCGCGTCAGCGCTGACGTTCTATACTCCGAGCCCGCAGCGAGTCGCGCTGATGTGACGTAGCCAATAGGCGGTGCTCTGAACGTGAAGCGAGGGTCCTGTTGTTGTAGGTGCCCGCGGAGGTGGCGGCGGGGGGCAGTCGGAGTTCCTGGCGGCTGGCTGAGGGGGGCCTGGGGCTGGTCATGGCGCTGAGGCCTGGCCCCGGGGGAAGATGAATAAAGGCTGGCTGGAGCTGGAGAGCGACCCCGGTGAGCGAGCGAGGCCCGGGGGAGACGAGGGCGGAGGCCTGAGGAAGGGGACAAGGCTGAGCCCCGGGCAGTGAGGAGGGGGCGGCAGCGGTGGAGACGGGGCGGGGGCTTCCGCCCTTCCGGCCAGGAATGGAACTAGGATGCTGAACTTGGTGTGGCGGTGGGGGGAGGCCGTTACAGGGTCGGTCTGGGTGAGGGGGCTGACTGAGGAGGAGAGCTTGGGACGGGATGGTCTCATACATTTGATAGTAAAAGGGGAGTGGCCAGTGACACAGGATAACTGCACCGCTAAGGCTTGATTTCCTACCTTGGTGCTCTGCAGATGTGCTAGCCTGCAACTCCCAGCATCCCCTCAAGTGAAATTCAGCACAACTGGAGAGTGCTAAGTTGACGAAGGTTGTTCTGGGGGAATTAATGGATAGAAAAATGGGAAAGAGCTGTGGCATAGATATCTGTCAGTGCCTGGGGTCTTGCAACTTAGTTATGAACTCGCGACTCATTTATTAACACCATTCTCTAAAAGACAAACTGGACAACTGGGCATGTAAGCTAGGCTTAAAACATTGTCAGAAGGTTTTGAATCTGAAAATGTTGCTTTATGTTCCCAGACTCATGCTCCTATGTTTTTACTAACCCAGTTGCTGCTGTTTATTCTCATTGTTAAAGGATGTGTTACCATGCATTTTTCCTGCTATAAATGGACTTGTTCATTTGACAGGGCTGATATGAAAGAAGAGTCCAGATATTTAATCTCATACAGTGAAACAAGGGCTTTAAAATACATCTAGCACCAGGTGGTTTAGAAAGGTGCCTTGTGCAAGGATGAATCATACTTTCTTTTGCAAACAGTCAACACTGTTGTGGCAATACATATCAATAGAAAACAATTGTGATAAATACACAATATTATTATTTACATGGATATCTTGTCTCTATATCCTCATCAGAAGGACCCCAGTGTTTGAGGTTGCAAAGATTTAGGCACTCATGGATGGTTAATTTTCTCCATCTTTGTGTTCAAGTTAGCTTAGAAAATAAGGTCAGCTGCTTTTTGTTTGTTTATTTTTAAACTTATGTACTTCAACTTATAGCCCAATTCAGGGCTCTCTGGGTGATGTACAGTATGTTAAAAATTAGTAGTACAAAAATCCATAACATACAACAATATTGCAATGGGAATATTAAAATACCTAGAAAATAGGACAGTCTTTGCCTGGTACTAGGACACTGATAATGAGGTTGCCAGGCAAACATCTTTGGGGAGCCCATTCTAAAGGTGAGGCACAACCACCAAGAAGACCCTTCTATTTGTCACCTATCTCATTTCCTTGGGGGATGGTTCTTTAAGAAGAGCCTCTGATTCAGATCTTAATGAATAGGTAGTTAAGTATGAGAAAAGTCAGTCCTTCACCTATCCCAGTCCCAGATATTTGCTGATTTTTAAAATCAGCTTCTCTTATTTTCTGAGCTAATGATGCTGGAAATTAGCTGCCAGCCTACCACTTGTTCCCCAGACTCTCCCCTCTCCTCTGTGCTGAACTTGGATCGGAATTACATAGATTTGAATCCGTATTTGGGGTGCAAAGCACACAGGGTGGTCTTGCACTAGTTGCACTCTCTCAGTCTAACCTATGTCATAGGGTTGTTATCTCTCCATGTACATCACCAAAATTTTTGGAGAAAAGGTGTAATGTCAACGTGAGGATAATATTCATGCTATTTCAGCATTCATAATCTTTGAAGAGCAGTATAAAACCATCCACAGAGATAAAACATCAGAAGTCTTTGAAAATTCAGAAGTCATTGCCTAGTGCATGAAATAATAGGAAAGTAACCACTAGACAAGCTTTGCTGAGACAACCATTCTATAGCTGTAGTGTTACCACCAAGAATGTGGCTTCCCGGGTAAAGCAGCAGTTGCATCTTAGACATGGTTGTGTATGAAGAATATTTTTGCTGAAGATCTTCATGTACATATGTACAGGTGATTCTGTCAGGTGCTTGCTCCCAAACTGCAGAGAACTTCAAAACCAGCACATTGAAGTGAACCCAGAAATGGAACTGAATGCCAGTGAAGCTGACAAAGCACAGGTGTAATATGATCATATTGCCCAGTCCTAGATTGTCTTAAAGGAACCTACTTTCACGCTACTCCATATTGCTCTCCTTACACCTCATCCCAAATTGAAATAAATTCACAGTGGCTGAGGTTTAGAGGGTATGTTTCTTTCTTAGGAAATGATAGCTTCTTCATACTTTAGCCAGTTGCTTAGGAACTCTTCCCACTCCTGCCCTATCTCACAGGCTGAGTTGGGGTCATTGCTTACAGGGTCAGCCACCGTTGCCGCCTTGTGCTAATTCTGAGTGCATGCCCACCTCTCATCCCCATGCACAGACTTGTTGAGATGAGGATTCACCAGGTCACCTCCAATCTAAGCAGACTGAGGACAGCGAAATAGCCATGTTATCCTTCATTGATGGTGTTTGGCTAGGTGCTACGGGAATAGTTCCTGCCACAGAGAAGATGTACTTCTGCTCCTCCACTGGAGTTGGAGAGTAAAAATAGCAACAGAAAGTACAATAAGAGGAAAGAACAACCACCAATGTCTAGATAGTAATGAAAGAGATATGTACAATAATGCTCTTTGAAATGTTTCACCCTGGGCAGCTGTTCTCGTTACCTGTATTGCCAGGCTGACTCTGATGGTGTAATTGGATTTGAAGTAATAGGCATCTATTTTTTTTTTTTTTTAAGAAGATGTTTAGTATTCCACTTTGGGTGCAGAATTTATAACTTTGATCTAGTATTTAACATTCACAATGTGTTAACTTGACCAAAATCAAAGTTTCTTTCTGCAGAATACATGTGGGCTCAGCAAGTAACAAATCTGTTTCATGTTCTTTTGCAGGGCTCTTCACACTCCTAGTAGAGGATTTTGGTGAGTATGACTATTCAATAATTTCTGTATTCCTCTTGGCCTCTCCTTCCCTCATGCTAATTCTAGCTGTGTCTTTTTGTAGGTGTTAAAGGAGTGCAAGTTGAAGAAATCTATGATCTGCAGAGTAAATGCCAAGGGTAAACTATTAACTATTATATTGATTGGAAGGAAGCAAAATATACCTTTGCGTTTTGATATATATCTCATGATATAGTTTTTGAAATTTGTGAGGAAGTTCTTTCATCACGTAGGAAATGCTGCAAATATTCTTAATGTGCTAGCTGATGATAATGTCACAGTAGACAACAGAAAAAAGGTTGTTGCCAAAGATAGTTTAACTATTTATTAGATACTTGTGAGAAACAATATAATAGCACATTCCCGGTGCATCAAGAGTGGTATGCATGTTGTAAGCCGCCCCGAGGTTTCGGCAAGGGGCGGCATAGAAATGTAATAATAATAATAATAATAATAATAATAATAATAATAATAATAATAATAATGTGTGAGTGTATAATATAAGGTGGGTTTCACATTAAGTTGAACAGCCCTCTGAACTGCAGCACTAGCCTAGAAATGATTCTACTGCAGATCCTTTGTACAGCAGCATAGAGTGGTACACTAATTGGAGTCTTAGTGTTAGCTTTAATGTTTTACACCATATTCTTGGCTTTTCCAGAAAGCTGTTATGTGAATACTAAAAATAGGTAGATACTGTCTTGCACATTCAGGTGTCAGCATTTGGGAGTGTCTAGAGTACTTTGGCAAGGGAGGCTGTAATAGTAATTGGCAGTGTGACTGTATTGACTTTATTTCTCCCTGCTAATACCAGCTTCTGTTTAAATCATGTAGGCAACTTGCAGCTCTTCAGATGTTTTGGCCTACAGTTCTCCTTATCTGTCACCATTGGCTGCACTAGCTAGGTCTGTTGGCAATTGTGGTCCCCCAGATGATGTTTTAAATGCATGAAATTCTTAGGCTGCTGTGTGTGAAAGACCATCTGTTGAGATAATGCAGCTGTGCTTTTGTCATGCTGTTTTCATTCTTTTTTTACCAGGCCAGTGTATGGATTTATTTTCCTTTTCAAATGGATTGAAGAGCGCCGATCTCGACGGAAGGTCTCTACTCTGGTAGATGAAACATCAGTAATCGATGATGACATTGTCAATAACATGTTCTTTGCTCATCAGGTAAGTTGAAATGGAGGCAGAAGGAAAGTTATCCCAATTTAGATCCAGGACTTAATGTGAGCCACTTTATCCGTAACAATGAAAGCGAATTCCTTGGACTGATTCTATAATAAGTAAGGTCCTGCTTTTGAGCATATGCAGAGTGCCTCTCTCTCATTACTGAGAGACCACAACTGGAATTCCATTTGAAATAAGGTGACTCAAGGCATTCCTAGGGTAAAGAAATGAGTCCAACAAACTTGAATTCCAGGAATCCTCATTTTAGAATTTAGGTACAGAGTGGCGCATCCTCATAACTGGAGTGGGGAAATAAAACTTTGAATGTTCTTCACTAATTGTTGTGGATAGGGCTGGGACTAAAGAGAATCATTCTGGCTGTAGTGTTCATCTGGTGTACATTTTTAAGTGACCTTTGTTATTCCTGTTTTTTTGATAATGGCATAATGACGTCATGCTGTGAACTGACCTGCGCAGGCTGACCTTTGCTGTGTTGACATATGGGAATGGGGAGCTTGCAAGAAGAGGATGAGCTCAAGTGTCTCTTTGATTCTTCCCGGAGTTAGATATTTATATATTTCAATACTATATTTATCTTTTGTTCTGTAAGTGTTCTAGAAAATATCTGTTGATGAACACTTGCATGCATTTACAAAACCCTCTATTTTTTCCTGTGCAGTGGGAATAGATATTTAGCTGTCCTGCTAGCTGCTACAAAAGATCAACAATCATGACTGATGGATGGCATTTACTTAGTCTGGCTGATTACCAGGTGGCCTTGCTTTTTTATTCCATGCAAATATTCTTTCTTCAATAGCTGATTCCCAATTCTTGTGCCACACATGCATTGCTGAGTGTCCTCTTGAACTGCAGCAGTGTGGATCTGGGGCCAACTCTGAGCCGAATGAAGGAATTCACCAAAGGATTTAATCCAGAGGTATGATGCAGTGGAGTGTAGACAGGAGGGGACAAACAGCTGATCTCTTAAGATGCCTTTGTAAAATCTTTATTGGTAGCATCCTACTTTCTTGCGTTCTTGATCTCTTCCCCAATTTCTTGTCCATCCTTATAGCTTAAGGAAACTTAGGCATGTTTGTCAATATAATTATGAAAGAAGAGGGATCTGATGCACAGGAGCAGGAAGTACTGAGGGGAGGCCTCATAAACTAAGGTTATTCTCTTGGAGAAACATGATAAAATGGAATAAAGTGGATGTTGCAGAGGACTGAGTCTATAAGCTCTACACACAGCCTGTTTATAGATTAACAGTGGATAATGGTTCTAGACATTTGGCAAACTTAGAAAGCCATTTAGAGGATATCCGTTTCTCATTTGGTCAAATGGGGGTTGAAGCCTCGAAACAAAACCTTATGCACATTGTTTTAAAATGAGCTTTGCTTAACTCAAGGAGAGCAGTTTCCAGTTATGTCTCTCTAAATTAAATTGGTGGGTTGGCTTTGTTCTGCACCTGAGCAGAGAGAATGATGGGCATCGGGGCAGAGAGCATTGGGGACTCAAGTGACAATAAAGCTTTATGCAATCCTGACAGAGTTTGTCTTCACTTTTTGCTCTGCTTTTCTCCAACAGAGCAAAGGCTATGCTATTGGAAATGCCCCAGAACTGGCCAAGGCACACAACAGTCATGCTAGGTAAGTGGAGTGACAGCAGAGCACCTTGCTGTGAAGTGGGCCACCTCTACCCTGACTGCTTGGGTGTGTGTCCTCTCGGCAGGCCAGAGCCCAGGCATTTGCCGGAAAAACAGAACGGGATCAGTGCCGTGCGGACCATGGAGGCTTTCCATTTTGTCAGCTATGTTCCCATCAAGGGGCGTCTCTTTGAACTGGATGGCTTGAAAGTTTATCCCATTGACCATGGTAAGGCATGTTGCCTTGTGCTTGTAGCTATTTGAGATTGCTTTGTAATGAGGTTACATAGGTTTGGCAGTGTTTTTACACGCTAACATATTTTCACCCTCAATTTTAACAAATCTCTTTAGGAATGTCTCTTCAGTAATAAATAAGTGTCTTGCTATACTATCTAGAACATGGGTCCTCAAACTATGGCCCGGGGGCCGGCCCCAGCCCGCGATGGCCATTTGGACCCACTGCGCATGTGGCCGTGCGCACACCCACCACCACCTACCTCACCCCATGTGCAGGGAGGCAGCGGTGTGCTCACTCTGAGAAAACGATCTCCAAGCGAGCTGCCTCGTGCGCCCAGCTCACTTTGCTTAAACTTTTGATTGAAATAAACACATACAGGTGGGGAAGGAAGGAAGGCTTGATTATTTAGAGAGACAACGGAGAAAGAGTAATACGTCGGCAAGTTAGAAAAGGCTTGGGAACACAGAGATGAGATGATGCCTTAGTCATGATCATCTGGAGGCAAGGATTATCTGGACAAATAACATACATAGAAGCATTAATATTTTGTTGCAGCTTTTTAATTTTGCTTTGCTTATATGAGAATGGAGAGAATATCTTATTCTTTTAGGGAATGGATGGGAAACAGAAAGCACTGGGTTAAAGTTGGGATGAGAAATGTCTGTTTTCAATTGGAATGTATTTTGTGCTTTTCCTTCTTTTGCTAACCCATTATATAGATAAGGCTGAGATAAACAATTTCAGGAATTGATTTTGGTGTCTTCTATGAGTTAACTTTGGATGTAAGACTCAGAATCTAACCATGATCTACATAGTAACCTGAGGTTATCTCATTCCCAAGCATGATTCTTTCTGTAATGTACAGGTAAAACTATTCGCTGCGGTGTTTGTGTGGGAGGAAAAATCCGCCTAATGAACATATCAGCTAGTTACGAACTTCCCTATATATTTCCACATTTGTCTTTCCTTGATTTTTCAGGGCCCTGGGCAGAAGATGAGGAATGGACAGACAAAGCCAGGAGAGTTATCATGGAGAGGATCGGACTTGCTACAGCAGGGTAAATGCCTTGAACAATGAATATTAGGTAGGGGATTGTGTCACAGTTTTGGAGGTGTACCCGAGAGGAGCCACTCCTTTTTTGTGCACTCCTATAGAGTCTGCGTTGGCCCAGGTGATATGTTCGGATCCAAAGACTTGCCACACCCCAACAGTTACAGGAAATAAAGCATTCTAACAGATTAAACACTCTGCTGCTACAAGCTGTGATGTTAAACTGGCATTAGGGTCATGTTATGCTGACCCAGGGAGAGATTCTGCGGCCGATATTTAGCATTAAAATGCCTAGTGCAAGATATTCTTTTTCCACAGGGAGCCATATCATGACATCCGCTTTAACTTGATGGCAGTGGTGCCTGACAGGAGGATGAAGTATGAATCCAAGCTGAATATATTGAAGATGAACCGACAAACTGTATTGGAAGCATTGCAGCAGGTAAAGTAGAGCAGGGGAAAGGACCTAATGATCAGACCTCTTGTCCTGATTGCATCTGGCAGTAGAAACAGGTGTTGTATTTCTCTGTTCAGATCTCCAGGTAAAGTTGGGCTCTCCGATTGTGGGCAGCTTTTTCACTTTTAGTATTTCAGGAGTAGTGAAAGGGGCCCAAAGGATTCTTCTACATAGAACTTGACATTGGGTGGGGCAACGGGGGAGTGGGGGGTAGGATCTTTGTGATCCTTCTGTGCTTTCTCTGTTATTGATATTCCGCCATAATTCTCCTTCTTGTCCTGCATAACTGGCTTATGAATTAGAAATATTTCTAAGGCAGAAACAATTGGACCTTGAGAGGTTCTTGAATCTAAAAGATGAAAGCCCTAAGAACAAATACTCAGTGTCAGAACTAGGGAAATTCATGTTAAGGAGTGGATGGGCTCCCTAATGCTTGACTGAAAAACCAGGATTCTTCTGAAATAATCGAATGGACTTAGTAGTAGCATGAAGACATGGCACTAATGTAGTACACTAGGAGTACCGTTTACCATTTTATAGGACCCTGGGGTACTGTTCCACTAGAGAGGAGCTGTGCTAATGAACACTGGCTTGTGGTCTGGGGAACTTCATGGCTTATTGGTGTTGTATCTTTATTTTGTGAATTGCTTAGCTTCTTCCTTTTCCCCGCTTCCACTTAAGTTGATCAGAGTGACTCAACCAGAGCTTGTCCACACCCAGAAATCTCAGGAATCCCAGCCTGCTGAGGAGCCCAAGTCAGCGAACAGCAAGACCTACACTCCACTGGAACTGGGGCGAGTGCAGTTGGGCCAAGAGAGCACTCAGACAGGTATGAACTCGCTCTGTTTGAACAAGTAGGTGGCATGTTTGCTTGGGTTCCAGAGGCATCATATGAACAAAGAACCATGCTCAGGAGGTGACTTGAAAAGCGCGTGGAGCAGCCCACAGCCCTCTGGCCTGCTGATGCTCTCAGGCCAGAGGTAGATGCCGTGCTATGCTGTGTAGTTTCTCGGGGCGAGATACTGTTATTGCCAATAGCAGAAGCATAGAGAATGCCTCTGTATGCCAGTTGCTGGGGAGCACGAGGGGAAGTGGGGTGGGTCTTCCCGTGAGGGCATTGGGTAGGCCACTGTGTGAACAGAATTGGGCTAGATTGGCCTTTGGCCTGATCCAGTGGGACCTTTTTGTGTCCTTCCTGCCCAGGGAGGGTATCTTAAATCCTACCCCCCAGAATTTGTTCTCCCCCACCCCCATTAAGCTTAGAGAAAGCTCCAGTTTGGGAGCAGAGTGACAGGGAGAGAGCTTCTATATGTACTTTAGTGAGAATGTCTCTGTCTCGGGGGCAGGGGGTGGCTAGGCCCTACTGCCATGGGCTGTAGTCACATGTGGTCCTTAAGAGCAAGAATATTGCCCATCCCTATTCTAAAGCTTTAGTTTATTCAGGATCAGCTTTGCCAGAAAAATGCAGACTTTGCCCTTCATCTTAATCCAGCGAGGGCAAATTGTAGACATATCTGCCTACCTTAAATGCTTCTACTTGAGTTTGTTGGATCTGGGGTAAGGAGTTCTGGAAAACAGTGCTTAGCAAATAGGATAGTGTGAATCTCATTCTTTTTGGAGAAATAAGCATGTACTTAGTCAAGTAATGTTGGAGGAGTTGCCTCTGATATTATTCATCATAATATATAGTAATATGTTTTTCGGCACCAGGCTAAGACCTTTTTATTTAAAACTTATTTTAATTGTTAATTTATTGGTTCTTTATAGGATTTTAAATCTTTTAAGCCGAGATGCACCGGGTTTTAATGTTTTTATTGTACAATTTGTTATGTTTTGTTCTTGTTGTGAGCCGCCCCGAGGCTTTGTTGCGATGGGGCAGCATAAAATGTTTTAAATAAATAAATAATAAATAATATAATAGTGATGATGATATATGTGTATAGCAGAGCGTCCTGAAGATTCTGGTGGCCAAGATCAGCCTGCCTCAACCCAGAGTCCTCCAAGCAAGTCAAAGCTGGGCAGTAAGCTGCCTGTGAGCAGTATAAATGGGGCACTATCAAATCCCAGCCCAATTGTGCAGAGGCTGCCAGCTTTCCTGGATAATCACAACTATGCCAAGTCACCCATGCAAGTACGTGAGATTTTTGAGCATTACTGTTGTTGCTTTCCATCTGAGTGAGTGCAGGCTTCACGATTTGTGCTTTCTTTTCGTAATCACAGCTCCTGCACTTCCAAAGTTGCATTTCAGTGGGTTGTGCATGCTTGCACATTTACATGTAGGGTACTGCCTCATCATGTGTAAAATTCTGCAGCAAAAGTCCTACAAGTTGGAATTTGTGTAGCTAATATACATAGTTAGTCTTGAAGAAAAAACCTGGGGTCTTGTAGAAAGCATTGCTTTGACAAGGCTTTAGTGGAAGACTTGAGGGACCCCTCTGGTGTAGGGAAGTCATGCTGCCTTTAGGGACTTTCATGCTTTTTGTAGTTTTTGATTTGCTGGTTGGCAGTGGCTGCACGTCCTTCAGGTTTTGTGCAAATGTTTAAGAAGGGTTTCTAGTTCACAAGTCAGAATTCCTTGGTGTACATTTTAGAGCTTTCCTGCATTAGTGTTTCAGTGTGCTCCATAGAGTTCCACGGAACCTCTCAGTCAGATCAGAGTGTGGTTACAGAGTGGAGCAGCCCCAGAGTGGAACCCCAACATGGTTCCTTCCAGATGTTCTACACTACAGGTCCCGCCATCACCTGTGGCCACTGGTCATGTTGCTTGGGGCTGATAAAATTGTAATCCAAAAATCTGTATTGGGGAATGCTGAAGCGGAGTGCAGCTGTCTCACCCCCATACTCGCCTGACAGATTTTCATGGCTGCAGATTCATCTGATAATCTGACAAGGAATTCATGGGTGAAAATTCACAGTGAAGAAAATACTTGGAAGTGTACTGCCATTGCAGAAGCCATCAGAACGAGACAAGCCTTTTGCTAAACAGCTTTGGTAAAACGACCAATAGCATCTTTTGAAAAAAACAAAAAACTCTGAATAGTTTATGATAGATTATGTGATGGGCCTTGAATTATCCAAAGCATGTCTGGTCTGTACAATTGCAGAATTTTTTCACATGGGATAAAGGAAACCTACTCTTTCCTGCCTTTTATTTTTTTTTTTTGGCTTTCATTTGTGTCGGTTGGTGGGCCTAGAAGTCACTTGAGCAGGAGGATTGGGACCTGGTTCCTGAGAAAGCTGCTTCCATAGGGCGCAGGTGAGAATGCAGCCATAGACACTTCTTTGTGCAACTCTGCTTCTTAAAAGATGGGTGTTTGTTCAGCAGAAGATTCTCCCAGATGCAATTCCTGGGATGTTTTCCAAAGACAGATGCTTGCTATGTGTTGCAGGAGGAAGAGGACCTTGCAGCAGGAGTGGGCCGGAGCAGGGTCCCTGTACGGCAGCCCCAGCAGTACTCTGATGATGAGGATGATTACGATGAGGAAGAGGAAGAGGAAGTGTGCAATGCCAATGCTGCCATGAGGTAAAGGCAAGGCCCTGGTCTCTGGTGGGCGCTTCTCTCCTTGCTTCTCTGTAGGCAGGAAATAGTTCAAGAAGGTGGGAGAGTTGCTTTCTAAAACGCTGCATTAATGATGCTTGAGGGGGTGGGGGAATGGGGGCTTTTCTGTGATATTTGGCTTTGACCTACAATTCCCTGGTAGGAGGAGAACCGGAGAGGTCCTAATGGGAGTCAACATAAGGAGCAAGGATTAAGTGACACAGATCATTTTATGTACTCTGTCCCTGAGCTGTCTGGGTGGAGAGCTATATGGTAGAATGTGTAACTGTTTTTTTCTTTATTTGCCTATTGCCAGATCGGCAAATTTTATTTATTTATTATTTATTTATTAAAACATTTTTATGCCGCCCCATTCGCCGAAGCCTCGGGGCGGCTTACAACACTAGATAAAACAATAAGTTAAAATATCCATATAAAATAATCATAATTTAAAACACACATTATAAAATAAGCCGCCCTGGCCAGATAAAATTCAGTTGTGTTAGCATTTAAAATGTTGCTTAAATAAAAAGGTCTTTGCCTGGCGCCGAAAAACAAATTTTAGTCTGGGGAATGGCTGCATCATCCTTTTCCTAGCATATGGTACTGTCAAGTTTGGGGGCATGTCCTACAGGGTGAAATCAGCTGTCAGTTTTAAATGAATGGACTTGCCTGAAACTTGTGGGCTATTTTCAGAGGGTACTTTTCATCATTTCATCATCCTTTCATTTCAGAGGGAGTAGAATAGGAAGGGGCCAGGCAGTGTAAAATAGAATGATTCAACAAAATACAAATACCTCACATGGCACATATGCAATGATACTGATATATTATTCTTTTTGATATGTGATATATCTATAAGTCTAGCTCCAGTGCAATAAATCATTTTTCATGTTTCTGGAAATGCAGCCAGTATGATATCAATTAAATCAACAACACTACTTTAAGCATAAGATAAAGCAGAATATAATAAAACACAATTATATATCAAGAAACTATTGATTATTCCCTACCCAAAGGCCTTGCACTGAAAAGAAGGCCATGTTTTGAGGAAGATCATTTAGAAGAGTGGTCAAGGGAAAGAATGTCTTGTTTTATTCAGATATTCCCAGATAGAAGGAATTTCAAGCAGATTGATCAGGAATGGGTTTTAAAAAAACACATGGGCTTTGATCAGAAAGCCTATTAAACATGGTTCTAGCACCTTAATTTGGGTTCAGAACTAATGAGTGCATAGCTGATTGATATAAAAATGTTTTTCTTGTATACCTACAAACAGGTGGACTGCCAAAATCATTCTGAGGCATCTTCAAGAGCAGTCCTTAGAAATGTGTATAATTTGATTTCAGAATTAAGACTACCTTGGTACTAGTTTAAAGAAAAACAGGTGACAGGAGATGAGTAGTGGTTTCATTTTTTAAATGAATACCATGCCACATGGCTGAGAAGACCTCTTGGGATGCTTTAGGAGCTGTGAAGAGCTACATGTGATACTGAAGTCCTTCCTTTCCTGACTGCCCAAAGTGTGCCTTCCTTGCATCCCTGAAAGCAGCTCTTCCTCGTGTGTTGCAGTTCTTCATTGTACTTGATTTGGAGTACATCAGTTGAAGACTGATGTGCTAAATCTTCCCAGTGACTTGTTAGACCAGGTTTGCGCAGCTCCTCTTATCCTACCGTCTTCTCAGCCTGATCTTTTTCTCTTGTTCTATGGCTTTGGACAGTTACAAGAGGAAGGCCCAGGTGAAGCAGGATCACCTAGTGGGGAGTGTAGATGGCCAGCTGTCCATACTACAGCCGAACACCATCAATGTTCTTGCTGAGAAGCTCAAGGAAACACAGAAGGACCTCTCCATTCCTCTGTCTATCAAGACCAGCAGTGGAGGCACTGCAGTCGCTGCTGTTTCCCAGTCCCAGCCCTCCCCTACGCCCAGCAACGAGAGCACGGACACTGCTTCAGAGATTGGAAGTGCCTTCAATTCCCCACTCCGCTCCCCCATCCGCTCAGCCAATCCCACTCGTCCCTCCAGCCCCGTCACCTCCCACATCTCCAAGGTGTTGTTTGGGGAAGAGGACAGCCTGCTGCGGGTGGACTGTATACGCTACAATCGGGCTGTGAGGGATTTGGGGCCCCTCATCAGCACAGGCTTGCTGCACCTCACAGAGGATGGTGTTTTCAGCCCACTTACTATCACAGGTAAGGGTTGGGGGGAGGCCTGTGACTGTGCTTCCCAGAACCTTCCCACTTTGAGGAGTTTGGTCTGGCTTGTTAGAGGGTGCTGTGCCATCAGACTGGCTGATGGCAGGTGCTTAGCTTGGATTCAGAATTCTTTCTAGCAACTCTGTGTGTTCGCACTGCATATTATGAGTTTAGCATGCCCACTGGAAGTTTCTCATGCCACTCGGTCTCAGAGAAGAGGTCTGGCAATCAGACAGCCACCTCACCTCACTCTGTCCCTACTTGTTGCTGAGAAAGGGCTTCTTTTTCTTTTTCCCTTTCCCAAGGTTCTTCTCTCCACCAAGAGGTTAGCTTAGACATAAAATTTTTAGAAATTCTGAAATCATGGGGAAAAACCCTTTTTGCAGGAAGGATTGTTTTTGCAGGGAAAAATAGAAACTCTGTAGGGAAAAATTGAAAAGCAGTACTTATTTTTTTCAGTGCTCTTTAAAGAACTTAAGTCACTGGGTTACTTTAGTGCAACCTTCCCTTATCTGATGCCCTCCAGAGATTTTTGACTTGAGCTTCCATCAACCTCAGGCAGCATGGCCTGTGAGCAAAAATGCTGGGCACTGTAGTCCAAAGCAACTTGTGGGCTCCAAATTGGAGAAGACTGCTTTAAGAACATAAATTAGCTTTTGTTTGTGCATAACACTATTTTCAAATTATTGCTCATAACATTTTCAAATTATTTTAAGCTTGGTTACTAAATTTATAATTTTTGGAATAAGCTATTTTTTAAAAAAATTAGTGCATTATTTTGCTTATTAAAATATTTAAATATCAAATGGGGTAAATGTAAATATTTGATATTTATATTTAAATGTCAAACATGGTATCAAACATGGTAAATTTATGAGCGGCCAAATTGTAACACATATTGGCTTTCTATTTTATATCTGACCAGAGGGAACTTCAGCAAGTAGTCCCTGAATCATTTGAAATCATCCCAAAAGCCAGAAGCGGCAGAAATAAATGGAGGCGGGGTAGACTGCTGTGCACCACTGTGAAGAAGTCTGGGGAGTGATCCCATGGCTCCAGGCAGCATCTAGGGGCCATAGGATACTTTGGATACTCAGATTTGACCTTGGAAACAGCTCTGCCCTGGATCTTGGGATCTGTATGCTGATCCCTTTCTACTGCAGCCACCATGGAAAGAACTGGGCTGCCTGCTCCACTGAGGTTTAAAAAAAACCCAACCACCTTGGAGCCGGGAGAGAAGGGAACGGGGATAGGGCCTCCGGACACGGTTGGGTTCTCCTTCTGTTGTCTCCGAAGTGCCACAGCTCGGCAGCAGGAATCAATGGGATTGCACCCTCAGAGAACTTCTTAAACCTGTTCCCAGTTGTTCTGGTGGCAGCAGTTGGCAGAGTGCCTTTATAGCTGAGGCACTGTTCCTTAGTGTGAGGTCTAATTGAGAACGTTATTAAAACTTTGGTAGTGACTTCCATAGACTGAAAACTACATAATTATTTTTTAAAGGAGAAGCATAGACAGAATAATGCCGTTACATTATGTTAGCTGCCCATGACAGGATAACAGATTGTAAACTGCCCCGAGGCTCATGCGATGGGGCAGCATATAAGTTGTTTAAATAAATAAATAAATAAAATAACCTGTGTTTTTTTCCACATGTGGGTTTAAGCTTAGAACTGCAGTAATTGATTGCAAGCCCGAAAACAGGATTATGTGGAAAGAAGACTAAACTGTCAAGAATGCAAGTTTTCTTCCATCTTATGATAATGATATGTTAAAAATCATGTTAAAAAACTGAACCATGTCTTGGATCCTCCCTAAATCTCTGTCAGTGAAATTTACAATAGATCAATAATTTTAATAATGGAAGAAATAACTAAACTGGAAATGTTTCAGAGAGGATTAAACATTTTCCACATGGGTTCGTTATTTCTAGGCACTTTAGATCCTTAGTCGTCTTACTACATGGATTTCAGAGATGGTTTCAGAGTAGATTGTTGGGTAGTACTATATAAATGCCTTGCTTTATATTCTAAAGTAAAATGTTTCATAATGTAAAGGTCTTTTTGTTTAGCTTTTCAGAAAAGAGCAAAGCAGCCTTTGGGGAAAATTTGTGTTTAAAAAAAATTTTTTTTGAGGGGTGGAGGTTTTGTAGCACTTTTAGGAATAGAGCAAAACAGAATTTTGGACTCCTCAAACTGTGTAAACAATATTGTAGCATGTGCTTATGGGTAATATATGCAGAAGTTTCCAGTGCTGTGCTGATTTGTTCATGTCAGTATAGCCTTGGAGTGCTCTGAGTGGAAATTCTTCTCTGCTCTTCAGAGCTGCTTGAGGTTTTAGCAACTCAGCAAGAGGCTAGGGATTACTCTTTCAATTCAAGAGTGAGCCTTAGATTGGGTGTGTGATCCTTCTGGGAGAAGAAACATGATCATATGCTCATGTTTTCAAACTTTTGCTCATGTACATACTGCCTGTGTTTAATTTTTTTTTCTACTTGTCACCTCCATTTGCACCAGATGCAGGGAAAAGCACCGGTCCTTCAAGCAAATCAAGTGAAGAGGTTCAGTCCACTGTAAAACTAGAAGAGAGGGATTCAAATGAGCCGCATGACAGCAAGGAGAAGGCTGGAATTGGCAGGTCTAATGATCCCTCCGGTGGGGAAAAATACTCTCCTAAAGTAAGTGCCCTGCTGCACAGCAGTCACGCCATGGCAGGGCATGGTAGCAGCTGAACTCGGGTGCCAGCCTTTTCTTTGGATTCTGCTGTGACCATCCGACAAGCAGACCGAGCCTTGCTCATGAGTAGATGGTGCCGGAATGATTGATGTCAGCCTTGCCTTTTGACGGTTGATTCTTGAGTTTTTGTGAGCCACAGGGCAGATGAAAAAGGGAAGGGATCCGCTTTTCATTAAAGGTATCTTTTACCTGTGGCTAGAAACCTGGGGGTTGGCAGCTTTACTTCAAAACATGTATTTATGATGCTTGGATAGTAATGCTCTATTTCTTGATGCAGCCAGAGATAAGGGGTCCTGTGAAATGTATACCTGCACTCGACTCGAGGCTTCCCCACCAATTCTTGTGTCCTGCTAGCAGCAACCAATGAAAATTGGAGGCAGCAGTGCACAGACTGTGGGACCTAGACATGTACTTAGCAGACATCTGAATATATCCCAGTAATAAATAGTGAGACGGCTTTGGTAGAATTGGGGGTGGAATTTTACAGGTGTGTGTGTGTGTGTGTGTGTGTGTGTAAGCTAAAGAGTTGTAACTCAGCTGCAAGGTGCCAGAAATTACAGTGAAAATTTCAAGAATGCAAGCTGAGAAAAAGCTGTTGGGCTAACGTGGAGATTGGCTGCTTGATGCAGGTTTCTGTCCTTCACTTGGCCCTTTTGTTCATATATAGCTTTTGACCAGATGTTTACGGAGCATTGTGAGGCACGTCTTCCAGTCTTGTCACTTGGAACAAATGGCCAAGTACTTCCCAGACTTGCCAAAGCACCAAATGATAAACGAGCACAAAATATTCCAATTGGAGTGTTGATAACTTTATTTCATTTTGAAAGCTTGGTGTTTATGTTTGGGGAAGAGATTTACTCAGCAGTATCATTGTACAATACCCATCAGAGAATAATTTCTTGAAATAGGCATCTCTTTGGAGGAGATATTGTACAGTCTGCATCACTGCCTGATACAGATTGAGAGAAAGTATCATAAATCTTTGCTCTTCAAAGCTGCTTTTTTAAAAAGCCAAAATTGATCTTGGTTTGTAGCAAGAGTTCTTAGATATTAAGGGTTTATTACAATTATGCTTAGGATACTCTGAAGATCTGTGGACTTGTTTAAATGAATGTTTTTGGTTTAATTACCTACCCTGATATTGGTGATAATTAATCTAATGAGCTCTTTGTTTCGCTCCCGTTTGGTAGAACAGCTTCTCCTGATATGGGACTGTATTTGGGCTATTTAGTCTTTTTGACTAGATTAATTACAAGATGGTACTCAGTCCACTGCTGAAGCGATGATATGTTTCTGGTGTTTCAGGGTGATTGGTGGATTCTTCCCAGTAGTAGCGCTAGCACTTGTCCTGCTTTTGCTGCTAGTGAGGTGTGCTCCGGGAGATTGGCAGGACTCTCATTGTCCCTGTTTGGCTCCTGTAGGAACTGCTGGCGCTGTTGAAGTGTGTGGAGGCTGAAATTGCTAATTATGAAGCCTGTTTAAAGGAGGAAGTAGAGAAAAGGAAGAAGTTCAAGGTATGCTAGTGAGTGTTTCAGTGCTTGGTGTGGGGAGAATAATCCTGGAGTGCCTTTTCAGTACTTCATCATGACTATACTTTTTGGCAAGAAAGGAGGAGAATTCAGACTAGCAGTTAAAAGGATCCAGATGTACCAAGAGCCCATGCATGCTAAGTCACTGCCTGTTTTTGAGCCTGGTTAAATTTGGGTTGAAAGCATTTGGGCAGCATCTGAAGCTGGAAAACTGGTTTATATCCAGCTTCTGTTCCTCCAGCTCCTGAGTGAAATTCAACTCAGAATTCTCCCACATATTCTTGTTGGTCCCCTAGCCTTCCAGAGCAGATTGCACAGCAAGGGAGGGAATCAACAAATGTGGCCTGCTCTTTTCCCCCTCTGGATCAGATCCCTGCCATGGATGTGAGAGCTCTTCCTTCCATGGGAGGTTCATGCTGGATTCAACATATTGTCTCTTACTACCACGGCATCTGCCAAAAACAGGAGAAATTTGAAGTTTGTTGTCTTGCCTGTTTAGCGGGGCACTAGTGTGCCCCAGCTATGATTGCCTGAGCTCTTCCTGCCTTTGTTTTAATACAGTGCAGACTGAGTTGGCTCTTTTGGTAATCCTGATGTGACTTTGGACACAACTGTTGAATGGCTATTGCTTTCCCATATTTCTGACTTTTCTGCTTAGATTGATGACCAGAGAAGAACTCATAATTATGATGAATTCATTTGCACCTTTATCTCCATGCTGGCACAAGAAGGTGAGCTGCCTCTTGAGTGGTCATGGCACCAGAAGAAAGATTTGAGTGGGAAAAAGTGGGGTGCAGTTGATTCTCAGGTGGGGAATGAAAGTTCCTTTTTACAGATGTGTCTTCTGAAAAGGCAGCATTTCTTACACACTGGGCAGGTTTGCACAACACTTGAAGTCACCCTGGGCTGAAAGTTGCTGGGGTTGGGGGTGGCCCAGCTGTGCCTTACTAAGGATTTAGGCATAGCAGGGATCCTTGATCACCACCTCAACCCCCTCCTTCAGTCCTCCAGCTTTTATTGCTGGGGACACCCAGCACACTGGGGGAAACAGCCTTTCCTTCCCTGCTGTTCAGCTGTGGCACACTTCAACTGAGCACATGGGTGGCTTATCCACAATTCCAAGGGAAACTGGAGGTCACACAACACATTTGACCCACTCACCCTAGCATGGCATGGCAACCCAGTCACTAACCCCTCAGTCCTAAGGTATTTACCCAGGATATGTTACATCGAGTTCAGTAATATTTATATCCATGTATGTGTGTTCAGTATTGTAGCCCAAATTAAATGTTAATTTAAAATTCTGTTTTGCCTTCTGTAATCTGATTGTGCACTTGTGCTGAATATGGTGTTCAACGTAAACTACTAAGCCCACAATGATGGTACAGAATTTCTAAGACTTAGTCATTGATTCGTTACAGGGAAAATTAAGGAAGCCTCTCATGGCTCTTTCAAGAGCAGTATTTGTTGTGATGGAAGAGAAATTTAGCCTGGAAAGTGCTGGTTAACATATTGCAGAAAATCTGCTAGGCTTGTAGGTAGCACAGTGTTTGCTTAGTAGACTAACATATTCTGTGAAACCATGTTTTGAAATTATTGGAAAAGGGAGGAAAAACATAATTATTTTGATTTGTTTCTCTTCACCTAACCTTCCAAACTTCCTTCCTGCAGGCATGTTGGCAAGCCTTGTCGAGCAGAACATCTCTGTACGTAGACGGCAAGGGGTCAGCATAGGACGGCTCCACAAACAACGGAAGCCTGACCGGCGGAAACGTTCCCGACCTTACAAAGCCAAACGTCAATAACATCAACCTTTGGACAGCCCTTGGCGTGCTCCGCTTGCCACTTTGGTGACCTGGCGCACTTTTCAGGCACTTCCCTGGCAGTTGGGCAGTGCTCTGGAGAGGCGCTTTGCACTGAACTTCTCTGTTCAAATCATCAGTGTTAGTGTCATGTTACACACAAACCCGCTTGTGTTCATCTGGGCTTTAGTGTTGCCCCACTGGTGGTTGCAACATGGGCATTCCTGCAGCGTAAGGACCAGGATCACTCGAGAGACCTCTTGGCACGGCACTGCTCCGTGTCCTGAATCCCTCTGCAGTATATTTTGCAGTTGCCGATGGCATTCTCAGTGGCTTTGTATAGACCTTAGAAAGGGACAGGCCAAATCTCTGCTCTCTTGAGGAGCACTGCAGCCAGAATTGTTTCAGTGTTGGGTTCAGTTTTCCCAGAGAGTAGGAATTAGCTGTGTACTGTTCCTTTCAGTGCTTTGGCTCTGTACACTTCATGGAGGCACATATCTATTTTCTGTATTAAAATGTGTATATATTTTCTCTCCTGAGCTATATTATTATTGTTGTAATAGGCTGCAGCTGGTCACAGACCTGAATCCATTGAGCAGGCCACATGCAAGTTGGGTTTCTTTGCAGCAGGTCTTCAAAGTCAGTATCAGCCCTGTTCACTTTTCTCCTGGTGGTTTCTCCATTGTTGCTGGAGCAGGGAGGGGAGTTTCCATGCTGGGCTGTGTATGTGCCAGGTAAGGCCTTGTGCTGTGAGGACACAGTGTTACATGCAGGGTATAGTGGTGTAGGACTGGGGTGGGCAACCTATTTCTTTTACTTGAATGCCAAGCTCCAGTAACCAGAGTGAAGTGCAGAAGTCAGAATTAGAATTCAAGGACATGGTGCTGCTGAGCACATTCTCAGCCTCAGATTTTGATTTCAAAGTCAGAACAGAACTGGCCATTCAGAAATTTTATTCCCATTTACCTCAGGCTTTCTTGATTTCAGCAGCTGACTTTAGATGGGGAAAAGGGCATTTGGTTATTATTAAATGATTGTAAATCAGAACGAAACACTTTCCCCTCTGCTGCAACTCACTCTGACCAGTGGATATCAATCTGCCTTCTCCCCACTCCTGATGTAGGCCTTGCAACATGATTATGCTTCTTGATATGCTGTCTATGTGGATGCTATGAACACAACATGATCTGAATAATGGCAGCTTTTCAGATGATTTCCCTCTTCTGAGCTAGAGGTTGGTAAGCTCTAGTTTCAGCTTCTCTTGGAAAGCTGCTTGTCTTTGCTAAGTTGCTGAAGAAAACCACCTTTTAAAGAAGTTAAATAATGCTAGACTGAAGTTGCTGTTAATTGCATGATATGCCCCATGGCAGTCGTGGGCAACCTGTAGCATGCCAGCTATTGTTAGATTGCAATTCCTATCATTCCTAGGCACCATAACCAGTGATGAGGGATGATGGGAGTTGCAGTTGCTGGCCTGCCCAGGAGTAGAGCTAAAGGGACAAGTGCATGCACTTACAATGCCTTGCAGAAATATTCCACACACACACACCCTTTGACTTTCCCACATCTCATGTTACAACCTGGACTTGAAACAGATTGAATTGGCATCGGCAGCACTTAATATACAGCTCTGGGGGGGGGTGTGCCATTTTGTACTTTGAGACAAAACTGGCAATTGTTGGTTGTATAAGGATTCACCCCAACCCCCCAAGTCAGTACCCAGGGGAACCACTTTTGGCAGCAAGTACAATTGTGAAGCTTTTTTGGGTAAGCCTCTGTAAGCTTTGCTCATCTAAACCAAACAGTGTTTAGGCATATTTCCAGCTCTTAAGTTGGACTGAGACTTAATAAACAGCAACTGTCAAATTTTGTCAGATTCTCAATCAGATTGAGGTCTGGGCTTTGACCGGGCCATCTAGGTTCTTGTTTCTAAACCATTCCAGTATAACTGGCTGTGTGTTTGTAGTCATTGCCCTGCTGGAAGGGAAACCTCTGTCCCAGTCCAGATCCCTTGTGACTTGAACCAGGTTTTCCTCTAGTGTTGCCCCATATGTGGGTCCATCCATCTGGGACTAGTTTCCCAGCCACTGCTGAGGAAAGGCATCTGCACAGCCTGATAGTGCCACCACTGTGCCTCCCCATGGGGCAATGTGCACTGTTGGCTTTGTATCACAGTCTGGCAGCAAGGCCAAAAATGTGCCTCCCACATGCCTCTCTGAAAATTACAGATGGGCTTTGATCATTGGTGTGCTTCAGCAATGGCCACTTTTTCATGAAGCCCAGCTATGTGAAGTGGATGAGTGAGAACTATCCCCTGGACAGTGTCACAGTGTGGAAAAGCCAAAGGGAGGCCACTACTCTGCAAGGCACTGTAAGCCAAATGCCTGGCTGCCTTCCTGATTTGTATATGTCCAGATTGAGGCTACTGTAAGGATACTGTAAGTGCATTCATCTGAATGTGCTTACAGAACTCCTGTAATTCAGTTGTGCCTTTCTAAGCCATTCTCTTCCTGCTTTAATTCCACTCACATGCAGACAAGAGCTTGCATAAGTGTTACATTTCAAAAGTGTGGGAGGACACCATGGAAAAGCAGCTTTTAAAAAAAAATCTAGCAAATGTTTGAAGCACTGTCAGACAGCAGAATGCTGATACTAAGGGTAACTGATTGGTAACAGAGCATTGGTCTTACCTTTAAGTTGGTCCTTGTAGCTGAAGCTTTGCTGTGAGGCAGAGCAGGAACTAGTACGCTGCCACCTCTGCTGAGCAATAGCCAGAAGAGGGCAGAAGCATGAGCTTACCCTCAGCTGCCATCTGAGTCATAATAATACCATGTGTGGTTGCTGCTGCCTCCTCGTGTTGTCTTTTCAGTAGCAATGCTCCTGTGTCGTGCTTGTCTAGCCAAAGCCTGCCTCTGACAGCTGCCAGTAAGGCTATATGGTCCTTCACAGCAGTATGTGTCAGTGGGTTAGGACTGGGGAGAAACGGGAGAACACAACTGCAAATTTGGTCTAGGTGAGTGGCCATGGGGCTTCAGTGTTTGGGGAAGAATTTCTCGAAACTTTTTCCTAAACTGTTACTCCATAAGCATGCAAAGCTGACTCTGCTCTTCTGCACTGCAATGCATACTAAGCAGAGGGATTCAAAGGAAGGTCTCAAGCTGCCTTCAAAAGAAGGCCTCAAACTTCTCAAGGTCCTCGAGAAGTTGGTAGAGTAGCTGAAAGCAGAATCTCATTTGCTTTCTCTGCAGACATGTACAGATACTGATTTGTAGAACTATCGTTTTTTGTATGTTGACAGAATCACCTGTCTCTTGTTTTGTTAGTTTCAACTACTGTAAATACCAGTTTTGGTTCAAAAAATAAAATGTATACCCCATGCCTTTGAAGATGGCATTAATCAGATCTGCAACATTAAAACTTGTGCACAAGCCTTCTGGCCTGCATTCCTGGATATGAGATCACTTTCTAGCTAGTACCTAGCTTTAGCTTGAAAACTTAGCAGTATGAAACTAGGGAAGGCTTGAAGTATGAGCCTGTATGGTACTGGAAATGGTGCAGTAAACTGCGCTTAGCATGATCACAGGGTTCAAAAGTGCATTCAGTGTACTGATAAAAATAGCTATGCTGCAAGATTGTGTAAATCTCAGATTCTTTCATACTGTTGTTACTGTAATATTTGGGGTTGCCGTTAAAGACTGTAGACAATATCCTGAGATTATTGTCAGAAGTGCCATGATCCCTGAATTTCTGGGCACTACTAAGAGTGGTTTCACGCTAGTACAATCTTCTTTTGTTTCTATATATCTTAGCTATTGCTCCCTTTATTGGGTTGCGTCCTAATTAAGTCATACTTAGAGAAGACTGTTGAAAATAGTGGAACTTATTTCCCTTTGATTTCAGTGGGTCTACTCCAGGTATGACTATATTGACACACAACCCTCAGTATCTCATTCCACACTGTAAGATCAATCAAGAATACCCACTAATACCACCATGCAGTCATCATTGAAACAAACAACTTACTATTTTACTAAAATAGTGTTTAGACTATATAAGTACCATTCTTCTCAAGTTTGTGTTTCCTCCAATGAGGCTGCTTCAAACAAGTCCTGTCTTCTAGTGCTGCCCTATAGTTCCATTTCATCACAGGCTGAATGTTTTCATTGAGCTGCTCAGTTCTATTGTTTCATCATTTAGAAGTCCAAAGCACAGATCAAGGCAACACCCCGCTTAATCCAGTGTCTCTGGGACTTATTGGTAGGAATTTCTACAGCAATCACATAGTTTGTAGAATGACCAGTTGTTGACAGTGTTCCTAGAAAAGAAAAAGTGAAAATAACTACTATATAAGAGAACGTAATATTTTGGAAGCATTGGAGGCTGGTGGTCCTGCATCTAAAATGGGGGTTGCCACAGGAGATACCACATCCTTAACTTCAAGTAGCTATTATTCACGTCAGCACTGCTTTTCTTGGACATATTCAAAGGGTCTAACAATAAATACAGAAGTAATATGAAACAGATCAGCAAGCAGCTGCTAGGACATGGAAAATTAGAAGGCAGTGGGGAACTTACAACAAATAATTGCAAGCATTATGGTCAGGACAGGAATTACTTGCCAAAATGTTGCTGCTATTAGAGGCATTACAATGTGTATTGTATTGTATTGTATTGTATTGTATTTATTTATTTATTTATTTGGCAGACTTATATGCTGCCCCATCCGCCTAAGCCTCGGGGTGGCTTACAAATAAATATCATTAGTACAATAAAATACAGTTGGAGACATCCTGGCCAAAGTTTTAAAATCAATAAATAAAACCAACAATTAAAATGATGTTTAAATAAAAAGGTCTTGGCCTGGTGCCAAAAAGCAAATAACGACGGTGCCAGGCGGACCTCTCTGGGGAGCGCATTCCATAGGTTGGGCGCCACCGCAGAGAAAGCCCTCCTCTGGGTGCTCACCCTCCTAATGTCCTTCACGGAGGGCTCCCAGGGAAGGGCCTCTGCCGCCGAAGTCAAGGGACCCTAAATAATAGGGATCCTATTTACAATAGGGTAAATAATACAATACAATAATATTTTGTAATAGGGACCCTAAACTCCTGGGCCGCACTTAAAAAGGTTAGCTTGCATCTTAACCTCAGCCCAAAAAAAATGGGTTGGATGTTTCAGACAACTGTTATTTCTAAAGGTATACATGTAGTTTTTTGCTATATTGAATCTGTATATGATTATACATTTGGCTGAGACATTAATCTTAATTCTTTTTTCTATGGGAGAAGTGAAAAATATTTTTGTTGGCCTGCCTTGTACAAAATTGTTACTGTGCTTGGAACAGATTTCTAGTGGCAAAACATCAATAGTGTTCAGTGCTGATTCCCCCTCTTCCTTTGCCTAGCAAATCATTTACATAAAATCATCATTTTCATATAGGGCTGCAGAATTTGGAGGGGGGGCATGCATAGCTTTCAGAAATGTACTAGATGTTCTGTGGTCCCTAAATTGTTTTCGAAGAATATATGCTTCTTTTGTTAAAGGTAGGTCAAAGACACAAAGGAAAATTTCCTCTAGGCCCCTAATTGTGTTTTTAGCACGGGTAAGCCTCTCATTAGTCTCATCAATGAAGGAGAAGACCTCAGAGGAATGTTCTTTGCCACGTTTCCAGATATACAGCTATCCTTGGCATGCAACCTTCCCTCTGAAAGTTTTGGGTAAAGGACATGCTTACCTGCACGAGTGAGTGTCTTATAGATGGGGCACAGATAGATGCCTGTGGTTGGAGGCTTGCGGTTCGGCACAGGAACTAACCAGAGGACTGCCATCTCTGTGTAAAGCTCCTTGGGCCGTGACTCAGTGAGCTGCAAGAACATGGGATCCCACCGAGCCCCTTCCAAAAATAAGCCATGGATGTAACATCCTTGAGCAGGCCTTCGAGTTAGTTCATGCACAGACTCTCTCATCACCTAAATTGAAGGTAGAAAACCAAGATTTCAGAAAAGTGTAAGGCAATGGAAATGAGTCAGAAAAGGGAGAGGTGTTAAACTACTCCAAGTACTTGTTCAGTATTTTGGACCTCAGATCCTACCTTTGCCTTGCACTTGCCCTTTTGGACAGATTAGCTGTCACATGGCAGCCATTTTGTGGTGGTGCCCATGACAGTTTTTCAAATTGCTGAATCTATTGATCGATCACTCGATCTATCTATCTATCTATCTATCTATCTATCTATCTATCTATCTATCTATTATTTATTTATTTAATACTTTTGTATACTGTCCAACTACCATGGTCTCGGGACAGTCTTACAATAAAAACAGAATAAAATGAAGCACACCATAAAATAAATCTACCCCCAAACCAAAAAAACCAAAAAGTTGTACACTCTTGAGGCAGGACGTCAATTGCTTAGCTTTTGCTACACCCTGATGCACTGACCTTAAAGTCAAAAGAGATGGTGTCTATGGATATGACAGACTTCCTGGCAAAGTTCTGCAGTGTCCCTGTTAAAAAAGCCTGGGGGAAGAAGAAGCCACTTATCCAGAACACCGGCGGTATCCCTTTGGCAATCCACTTATGCAGGAAGTCAATGCGCAGCAGCAAGTCATTTACCCAGGAGGCCAAGGGCTTCAGCGAGGGGTATGCCTGTGGGACAAGACAAACTTGCAAATACTCTCTTGGTAGACTGCCTCTAGACAAGGTTTGCACTGTACCCAGAAGCAATCTAAAAATTAGGGATATGACATGAGCATTTCTAATACAAACTAAAATGAACTCTCTTTGGCAGATTAGCTCAGAGTCTGTGATCCAAGATCACAATGACCCAAGCAGAAATTCTTCTTTCTAGGTTGGGCCTGGTCTGTTTGTACAATTGTGAAACAATCGGTATGATTTCATGTTCCTAAGGAACTAAGTGACCTGCCAAAGTACAGCAGTAGTATTACTTCTGTATTATCCATGCAAGAGGGCTCTGTGAGCACCTCAAGTGCTGCACCTGTGAAGGCACACTTCAGTATTCAGAAGTACCTTGCTGTTCCACATCTCTGGGACGAGGTTGTTGTACAAGCTGTTGGACATCAGCTCCAGCTGGGATGACATCACCACCAGGCCTTTGAGGGCTTTCAGCAGATCTTTCAAACTCCCTGCAATTGTCTCCAGAAGACGATTGTATCTGCAAAATTGAGACAAAGGTTCTAGTACAAAAAGCAAGCTGGCCATTACTGTGATTTTCTGATCAACTCATTTGAGACAATTGCCACCTATACATTTAGATGTATTTATATATTACTTTTAAATAAAACATTATCAAAGTTATTTATCTTTACAGGATGCAGCTTTGTGAAGACCCCTCTAAGTGGAAAGGAGTATCTCAGCAGGGAGGTCTTATGACAGCATTGTCATCTTAACTAGGGAATAGCTAGAGTTAAGGATAGTTTTGTGCGGGAGGGAATCTAGACTGGGGGATATTTATTTTTAATCCACATTCCTATTTTCAGGGGGAAAAGCAGTTTGGAGAACTTGCTTTTTCTGGTGAATGTACCAATCTAGCCTTCAGCTAGGACTGTGTGGCTCTACAGTTAAATAATATGGGAAATGGTACATTCTGGCCCCCCAGTTGAGCCAGGCTGACCACAGGATGATCTCAGTCAGGGTGCTTCCAGCAAATGAAGCCTTTATTTCACCATTGCCCTGCCTCATTCACATACTTTACAGAAAGCAGACATTGTCCCTGTTTTTGTAAACCTCTGTTTTCCCACAGCTTCCCCCCCCCCCCCGCCATATTCTCAAACTACGATCCCGTAGCTGCAGAATGCCTTTGTATTACTAATGCCAGAAGCCTTCTCTGGAAGCACCTTTACTCATGCATAAAAGTAGATAGTTTTTAACAGCTGTTTTAATTTAGTCCCAAGTTGTAATAAGAAAATACTTGGTTTGGGAAAAATGATCATTATTATCTAAATCTTGCTACTTCTTGAAACTATAGCTAAGATTGTGTGTTGTGTAGGCCACGCAACTGGTTTTCAGTCTCCTTGACCAAAAAGAAGCAGTGTGGGAAGGTGGCTCATGCCTTCTGCTTGCAGGTCCCGTGTAGCTATTGCCTTTTTCAGGCACCTGCTCCTCAACTTGTTCTCATCTGTTGTGTCACAGAAAGGGAAAGGCAGGGCTACAAAAGGTCCCACAAAGAACTAGGTCAAAGCAAGGCCTGTACCTGATCACCTCCTGGGCCAAAACAGTGTTCATGGACTCCTCATAGAGCACAGGATATTTCAGCATTACTTCACGTAAATTAATAGGATGAGGCACCTTCTCTAGGATATCTCTTGATGTTTCCTCCACAATCTAGAAAATAAATGGAAAGGACACGGGGAAAAATCCATTTTGGGGTAGAAAACTTTGCAGTCAGGTTCTTTAAATTGGAGGACAGAAAGG